TACTTCTACTCTGATTAGCAGCAATTGTCCAGATATTTTTCAGCCCTATCTCTGAGATATTAATAATTAAACTTGAAGCTTTTTCTCTACAAGGCAGAGGTTCTGCAACTGAGCTATGGTTCTTCCAATGTACAATCCTCAAACCGGTCTAGAATGCTGAACATAATTAGAAAAGAACTAAACTCACAAATATATAATTGGACTTGAAGACACTATTAAATAGAAATGGCAATTTGTTCAAAGGTGAAACTTCATAAGGCTTTTTCTTCAAAATAAATCTTTCACCAGAGTGATTGGCTGGGTCCCTTGTGCTGGTCCTGATATGAGTAAGATTTAAGGCAGTTCTTTCTGAAATATTTCTCAGTAGTATGTTCAGAGCAAGGGATGACAGCTAGAGAGCTCTGGGAAGGAGGAAGGAACATTTTTTGTTACTACAGTAGTATTTCTGCAGAAGGATATCATTTCTTGCCTTGTTAGTCTCACCTTCCAAAATAGCTTAGCCTTCAAGGCACAAATTAAGCCTCAATGCAGTTGGGTTGCTCAAGCCCAGAGGCAAAGAACTGGTGCTTTCCAGATGTTGGTACCAGCATCTCACATTATTCCCCATGCTGGATGAGGCTGATGAGGTATAGCAACATCTGGAGGACCATGAGGCTTCAATCTTTTACCTGGTTCATCATCACCTCTTAGAATTGCCAACCATTGGCTATCTTGTTTGAAAATTCTGGGAGTTGTATTTTGCGCCACATCTAGAAGATACCAAACTAGAGAAAGTGAACTTAAGAGCCTCAATTCTAGATTTCTTTTACCTGATGATACCAGAGATCGGTGTTTCTCAATCTTGGCTATTTTAAGATGTGTGGACTTCAAAAGTCATGCCTGACTGGGGAATTCTGGGAGTCAAAGTTCACACATCTTACAAGGGCTGAGATGGAGAGACCCTGCCATTGCAAATCCTCAAGGAAAACACAGAAGCTTTTTAGAGGTTGAGAAACAAAGACTGCCAGAAACATTATGGAATGGGACAACTTGCCATGGCCAACTTGTCATGGACAACTCACCACTGGACAACTCACCACAGGACAATTTAATGATTCAATTTAATTATTTGAAATGAATAAAAAATAGTTTTAATTTTTGTCATTCACATTTCATTCAGTCCCTCCTTTTGCATTCTTTCTTTAATGATTCTATTCCACCATTTCTTTGATATTAGTGTAACTCCTGTCCTGCAACGAGCTGTCCTGTGGCAAGTTGGTCACAGCAAGTGGGCCATGGTGAGTTGGCCATGACAAATTGCCATAGACCCAAAACATTACTGTCTGATAGGGAGTCTGGAATTGGAAGTGTGTGGCTTAATCCCTATATAAGTGGGAAGCTTCAGACAACTACTGTGTTCGCTCACTGCAAAGCTTGAAATCAAGTACAGCCCTCCCCAACTTGGTGACTATAGATATATTGGAATGTGAACACCATAATTTATAGTCATGTAGTGTCCCTACTTGGAAATGATGTATTATCCAGCACAACTATAAAGTGCAGGTTGAAGAATGCTTACGCAGTATAGTGTAAAACTCAACAGCTCATAACAGCTCATAAGCAGTATATTCAAAGTTGACAAGGAGAGAGATTAGCCCTCTTTCTACCATTAAAAGGAACTAAGTTAGAGTTAACTAGTTAACTGTAGTCAGAGTGAACTAGTTGATTAAGCTCTTTTAAGAAGAGATTGGTCAACCATTTTTCTGAAATGTGTAGCGCTTCCTGCTGGAGCAGGAGATTGGACTACAAGACTTCCAAGGTCCCTTCCAACTCGGTTATTCTGTTAGAATTGAATTTCAGTATCTTAACATCTCAGCATCTTTTCATGTTATTCTGTTAAAGCAGACAATTCAACTTCTCAAGTTCAAACCTTTTGGTTACAATTACTTAAGAGGCACAACTAAATCCATCTCCTACCACTGACTCAGGCAATAACAAGACTCCAACAGATTTCTGTTTTCTTTGGGATAACCACATTTATCTTCCTCTCTGGAGGGAAATATAAGCATAACATTTTGCTCTGTTTTTTCTTCCCTTTCTCCCTATTGATTTACCTTCCTTCCTGGTGAGACTAAAGCCATTAAATCAAACCTGTTCATTCTCTCTTTTTCAAGTGTTATGACTAAAGAGTGGGAGTTTAAAGGCTCATAAAATCTCCTTCAAAACCTCTAGAGGCGATTTTCCATGTCCTGACATCAAACAATTCTTAAAAGGAAGCCTATATCTTCTTGATATCTACAGCTGCAATTCCTTGCATATTTTCCCGTGGAATAAATCTCTCTCAACCCACTGGAACAGACACAAACAGGTCTCTTGAATCAACTGAAATCTTTATAGAGTGCCATACATGGATTCAGACATATTGCTGAGTTGTTTAAATCATAGTTTGCTGAACAATCCAAATGACTGCTAACCTTAGCAACCTTTCCAGGGATGTTCCACTCTGTACCTCCACACAAGATCTGGCGTAGAGAGATGGGGTATGGGGTGAGAGTGGGATGAGAGAGCAACAGCAAGCCAAATATTGTAGCTAAAAAGCTGGACTAGGAACAGGGAGAACCAGCTTCTAATCCTCCCTTCGACACCCAACTAGATGGATCACTTTGGACCAGCAACTTTCTCTCAAACCTAGAAAGATCAAAAACCATCTTTCTACCAACCTGCACTGCACTGACAGAAGATGGCCCATAACCTTCAATGGGATTGTCCCACAATGGATTAATATGGGCTGAGAATAAAAAATATGCATATGCCCTCACAAACTTCAAGTTTGAACATACAATGTTCATGAACATACATACATACACACACATATGCACACGCACACATGTAATTTCAACATTTTCCTTTTTTCCAGTTTTATTTTTGTTGTTGTTTTTGAATTCAACAAATTTAAGTGTCTCTCCAATCAGGCTCCCCTCCTGGTGGCTGTTCTGAATTTGGCAATAATTCAGAAATCGGTCTTCCCATCTGTTCTTCTTCTCAGGTGTTTTTGACTGGATTCCCATCTAAATACTAACCAGGCCTAATCCTTCTTAGCTTGCTCAAGTCCTAGCTTGATTTTTACACATGTGCCCAATATAAGCCCTACCCCCCCCCCAAAAAAAAGCCCTAATTAAGATCCCGCCCAATCCAGGGTGCATGGGTAAAAATTAAGCTAGGGTGGTGATGGGGGAGGAGCTGCCCTACTACTAACCGTTGGACAGTTGTAGCCAGGCCTTGCACACCCCAACACCTGCCTTGCTGGCAGCCCATTTCTTCTGCAGCCAGCAAGGCTTTCTTAAAGGCCTCTGTAGCAGAGGAGCTGGAGCTCTGTTATCAGCTGCAGAGGCCTTTAGGAAAGCCTTGCCAGCTGCAGAAGAAGTTCCAGAAAGGCCTCTGACAGCGAAAAGGAAGCCGGGGCAACGCATGCAAGTGAGGTTAGTCAGTGGATGACATCCCCTGAAAATAAGACCTGGTGCCTTTTTTTTGGTGGCAAAAAAAATATAGGACAGGGTCTTATTTTCGGGTGCCATCTTGCACAACGGACCCATCAGGCCAATAAAATTTCATTCAAATATCCACCCACTCAGACATGCCCAATAATAATTGCATGAAGGAGGGATGAGGGATGAAGGTATTGTTCCTACTCCATCTGTTGGTCCTTGCCCTCTGTACATGAGAGGAGAACCTCTGTAACAAATTCATTTTCACTTTACTCATTTGGCCTATCCAATCCAATGAAAGTCTTGATTTTTCAGATTCTTCTAAACCACATGTTGGGGAACTTGAGGGCAAATCAACATGTAGATGCTGAATGCAGATGTAGAAGGAACGGATTTTTATCCATTTTCCTGTTCGAATGATTGTAATATTATGAGATAGGTAGGATTTTAACTAACCATTGGTGTTTTAATTTCTTTCATTTTGTTTTGAACAGCTAATTCTATTTTTCCCTCAAGCTTAGGAATGTTAATAAGTTACAGGTAGTCCTCCACTTACAACAGTTCGTTTAGTGACCTTTCAAAGTTACAACAGCACTGAAAAAAAGGTGACTTATGACCGTTTTTCACACTAACAACCATTGCAGCATCCTCGTGATCATGTGATCAAAATTCAAATGCTTGGCAACTGGCATATACTTATGCCAGTTGTCATGTGATCACCATTTGCAACTTCTGACAAGCAAAGTCAATGGGAATGCCAGATTCACTTAACAACCATGTTACTAACTTAATAACCACAGTGATTCACTTCACAACGGTGGCAAGGACAGTCGTAAAATGGAGCAAAACTACTTCAACCACTGTCGCTTAGCAACAGAAATTTGGGGCTCAATTGTTGTCATAAATCAAGGACTAACCTGTACTTTCCAAAAGTCTGAACAGTCTGTATCTGTAAAAAGGTTTGGATACATCAAATCCGAACTGTTGTCTTTTCCATTTTAAGTGATTCTGATATATTACTAGAAGGAGACATCTTTAAGGTTCCAAAGCATAACTTAATGACATTTGTGAGTTCTCCAATTTTTGTAGCAATGAAGAGGCAATATTGGACAATATGAATCTGGATGCTCCAGGTTTAACAGGAAGTTTAAAAACTAATCTGTAACAATTTAAATAAACATCATACAATACTATTACTTTGACATAACAGAAAAGTACTAATTTTTCCACAATGTTTTTTATATTTTTTCATTCTTTTTTTTCTTTTGTGCTGTTTAATTTTTTTTAGATATATAATTTACTCAAAAAGGTTGAAATGAAATGAAATGTGTTAATTTGGTTCTTAACCATTATTACTTGTATTATTACTAGCACTACTACTATAATTAACTGCATTGGTTTGAAAATTCAATAAAAATTGCTATTGTTCAAAAAACACCCCCCCCCCCCCTTCAATGTTTTTTTGTCAAACGTTTTAGATGCCGGAATCTGTACCTTTGATATTTGTTAAACTTTCTCTACTTTTTAAAAAGTGAAACATAATTCCCAGCTTTTCTCCATATGTATTTGTCAGGAGCATGTTAATGTACAACTCTACATCCTTTCTACTTTCTTCACAACCACAAATAATATGATCACAGCTTCTGGTCTTTGCATTCTACTCAAGGTGCATGTGTACAACATTCAGTTAATGCAACAGGAATTATCAATTACCAAGAGCAACAAGCATCTTGTAACAACATTCTATCACTGACATAATTACAGCACATTTATCATTCATATGTCTTTTTTTTCAAACAATTACTACAGATTTGTTATTCTGACTTCACCTTCTAATAGGTTAAAACACTGGTCTTTCCATTGCTTGATTTTATTGCATGGTATCCAACATTCCAATTATCTGGTTCATTTACCATTTTTTATGCTCGTTCTTTGTTCAGACTGGGGTTTATAACGTCCTTATAATTCTTTGGGGTCAGCACAGTCACCTCTCCTACATTGTTAATGGAATATGAAGTTGCTTAACAAACTTGACCAAAACATTTCTCTTGTATGCTTGCTGTTACTCTACAACTTACTGCTTCAGAAGAACCAGAATTCTCCCCCAATCAAGTTCTCTATATACTCATTTCATATATTTTTTTAAATCCCTCTATTTACAGAGTCCCATGGAATCAAAGAACTAGGCTCACGTCATTCTACTCTTGGTTTCCCCAATAAACCTCCCACCAGTCCCCCACCATTGAAGAAATGACCACACCATTCATCAAGATATGTGAAATATGATCTAGTTCCTATAGGATTTTAGAAGATAGCTTGACTTTCTTTTTAAAAAATCGGTATTGCCATCTCCTCCTCACGATCAATATCTTAGAAAAATGCTCTTCAGCCTCTTGCCTAGACTCAGAAAACTGTGCTAATCAAGGTTTAACGTCACAGTGAATCCCAATAAACCTGGGCACAAGCTTCAGTTGGAAACCAAGGCAAGCTTAGGCTGGGTTTGCAACAGAAAGGTAGCATCGGAGGTCTTTTGGCTGTTGAACAGTGATGAGATGAAGGGGGAAAGGAAGCAAGACAGGAGCATTAAGGAGTGCCCCTGCAGACCAGGTTATTTCTTCAAGGAAGCATTCCCAAGGGTCAACTCCAGCACAGTTGCTCAGTTGGAAGAGGTGATGGCTTGTGAGCAGCCTGGTCTATCAAATATTGCATCTTCTAGCACATGAAGTTAAACCCTCGTCTTGAAGAGTATCAGAAAGTATTGACAACCAAAAGTGTCCAGTTAATTTTTTTTTAAAAAAGATCAGTGCTCTAGTCCTGAGTTAGGTATGAGTCCAGGACTTCCTGTTAATTCCAGAAGATCTTCCAGGAGACAACCAAAAAGGTCTACCTCTTGGCTCCCCCTCATTGGTACTCCTTTCAGCATCTCCTGTACTACAATGCAAGTCAGCTTTGTTGTCTTCTAAAAATGCGCAAGCCTTTTTAAAATGGTTGGTTTCTTCAATCTTTCAGGTTAAACTTGATAGACTCAATTAAAAAGAGACAGGTTGAATCAGAGATAGGTTTGTGTTGTTGTGGTTGTTGTTTTAAAAAAGGGACAGCATTGAGACCGAAAAAGATGACGAGGCACTCGAGGTTCCAGTCTATGCATAAAATTCCTCCTGCTTGTCAGGTTTTTGGTATGTGACACTTGCCTGCTTGGGCTCTTCCAGCGTGTAGCTTCCTTCGTCTTTCTTCTTCATCCGGTAGATCAACAGCATCACCAGGAAAGTTGCGAAGAGGGCCCCAACGACACCTCCCACAATCACAGCTGCAAAGGGACAACAAAGGAAAGTTAGTGAGATTTGTATCGGCTTACCTTTTGTATAAAAAAAAAAAAAAAGAATATTAAAAGCCTGAGGAAGTAGGAGGAATGGGCAGGTGGATGGATGGATGGATGGACGGATGGATGGACGGATGGATGGGTGAACAGATAGTTGGACCAATAGGTATCCGGAGTGTCTACATAAGAAGAAAAATAATTGAATATTAAAAGCCTGAGGAAGTAGGAAGGAATGGGCAGACGGACGGATGGATGGATGGATGGATGGATGGATGGATGGATGGATGGATGGATGGATGGATGAACGGGCAGATG